GCTGGGCTCAGTTATGCTGGGCATGTGTGGAAGGGCCCTGTCAGCACTTCTGCCTTTCTCCTGCAGGCTGAGATGATGCTTTTGGGGGCTATGATGGAAACAGGGCAGGCCGCGCTGGTGGAGTTCAGCACCACGGCCAGGGCTGCCGGCCCTGCAGGTGGGCAGGGAGGAGACGGGGCTGCGGCAGGACCCGGCCAAGCCTGGCCTGTCCCTGAGGATGCATCCGAGCCCTCAGGCCCATGCTCCATCCTCCCACCACTCTCCTTCCAGCTGCCCCCAGCCTTCATGCCCTGATCCCAGCATCAGCACCGATCCAGCGAGGGCCATTGGCGCTGTGCTGCATTGCTTTGCCATCATAGCTGCATTCACCATCATATGGGCTCTCAGGAAGGGCTGTTGGCACATGGGGTCGGGCGCAATGGCTGCGTTCAGGCCCTCATGAGGGGTTGGGCTCTGCTTTCCACAGGGCAGAAGCCCTGGAGTGAGGTGCAGGTGCTGGGCTTGGGGTGAGGCAGCTCTTCAATGCATCATGATGGGCCTAGCACACCCGCCAAGGGAATCTGTACGGGGCACTACCCAGCAAGGTGTCACCAGAGAAGCCAGTGAGCCCTGGTCATCCAGCTTCGCCTGCATATAAATTTCAGCCACCCTGTCTCAGTTTTAACATTTAACTCGCCTTAGTCTGTGATCCTGAAAAGCTTAAATTAATGACAGCCTTGCTGTTGCTCATTAATAATTGCTTCGTTACTGTATGCGATTGCATTCTCCTGACAATAATGGTGTTTGCTGGCATATTTCTAATTATCTGGCATTTCAGCTTCCTAATAAGGCCCCAGAATTCTGCTCTGTGAAAGGCCCCTCTTCGGGGGAGCGCCGCGCCGCCCTGCCCCGCCAGCCAGCCTCTTGTCAGCATTTCCAAAGAGGCACGTGTTTGTTTATTAATAGTCCTAGGAAAGAAGCTTGAACTTCATTAAAGGGAAAGTCCCAAAGCTATTAAAGCCTAATGTATGACACCGGTGCCATCGCACTGGCTGTCTGCTGGAAGCCAGCCTTCCCGGCCTGCCGTGCTGCGTGTCAACGCTGGCATCTCTGTGACCTGGTTCACAGGCTTCGCAAGCCCAGCTCTTGTTCTCCCAAAACTGCACCACCCTTTGGGCTGCCCTGCTTGGGCATGTTCCTGCAAGCGTGTTGGCGGTGGGGGGTGCATGGTGCAGGCACGGCTCGGTCTGGCCTGGCTGCTGGTGGAGCCTTGTGCTGCTGATGGAGGCCAGGTTTTAGCTGGAGTCCAGTGGCCAGAAGCCTCTGCTGTCTGGCTTTGTGCTATGGAGAGAGATTTCCTGGAAATGGCATGGGAGGAAAATGGTGGATAGAGCAAGAGGGGAGAGGAAAGGGAGAGAGGCCTTTAATTGTGTGGATGGTGCCGTCCATCTGTCCTAGTTGCAAAGTAGCTCTTCTTCAGGCCCTCGAGGCCCTGAAATGTTCATCTGCTCCAAAAAGGCACATTGGTTATTTCTCCCTGCCCGGTGCATGTAGAGCACAGGCTACTGCTTGTGCGGATAGAGCCATTCAGCACCAGCGGGCACTTCCATGTGACACGCTTCCCTCAGATGCTGGTGGTCATGACACCTGAACACCTGCTGTTACCACTGAGCCTGGGGAGTGGGTGGGTTTGTCGCGGCACCATTAGGTTGATCGATCAGCCCTCCGCAGTCAGGAGCTCGTTGTGACCTGCCGATTGTCTCCCTTTGGCCCAGGGGGCTCCCTTGGGAGCAGATTGGCTCAGTTGTAATCGAACAGCCACCGCTTTGCGAAACGACCCCAGTAACTGCAGTCCCTGCAGAGCTCTGCTGGGATCTGCAGCCTCTCCCATGGTGCAAGGTGCTGGGTGCTCCCTGGGGAAGAACCAGGTAGATAATGCGGCTACAACTGCAAGAACCCAACTGTAGATGCCGTGGCAGGGATGAGAGAAAAGATGTGCGCACACCATTCAATTTTAAAGTAATGATGTAGAACAAATAGAGTGGGAGCTTCCACACGCGCAGCCTTTGCGTACCGTGCACCGCGTGGCATGAGAGCTGTTATCAGTTATTGCTGCAACAAGCCCTCAGCACGCCCGTGTCAGGGCTATAAATTAAACGTGCATCCCGTTGATTGGAACCGCCACTGCCTTTTGCATTCAGTGTGTGTTCCAGGTTTGGCCTCCCTCTGTCGTCAGGTGGAGTCAGACAGCGTTCACACCGGACTCTGGAAACTGGAGCAGCTGTGGTGCGCCTCCTGCGGGACTGCTTTACAGTCAGGGCTGTGTCTGGGGTGATGAGTCTGTGTCTGGGTGTGCCGGGTCCCGTGCAGGAGGGACATAGGGGTATTGCTAGTTACGTTTGAGTGGCTTTACTTTCCTCAAACAACCGGGGTGGGCTCCGGGTGGGCATGCATGGTTGGGAGGGATTGCCCTGGAACAAACCCTGTTGCTTTTTAGATTGAAGGAGCTCCTCTCTGTGGCTGTGGTGTCTGCCAGGACTTGGCACTGTCTGAGAACAGATCAGGGGATGGAGCTGCTGTGAAATGTCCCCATGGCCTGGATACCCTCAGGTGAAGCAGGACACTTGTTTGCAGGTGCCCTGGCAGACAGGACCCTTGCTGCAGCTGCACGGGCTGAGCTTGCCCCGCTAGACATACTCATATATGCACTGTCTGGAGTGCTGCTAGAGCTGCATGTGGATGGGGTTGTCTGCTGCAGAGAGTGGGGTGCAAGGAGGTCTCTGGCTGAGCCGGCTGTGCGGTGGGGTGTGCGCCAGCCCCACAGTGAGTGTGGCTGAGGGCATCAGCCTGCCCTGTGAGCTGCAGGGGGTGGGCAGTGCTTGGGCGCACAGCATGCAGTGCTCGGCTCCCCTGGTAGCCAGCCCCAGCCTGCAAGCGCTGCCCCTGAGCTTCTTCAGGACCCACCTGTGCAGCTGATTGGGGAACACACAGGAGAAAGCGCCAAGGGCCCTCGGTGCCAGGGGCAGCACTGTGTCATGCTGCGGTCGTACTCCCTGCTGACAGCTTCACCATAGCCACTGTTGTTAGCACCTTTGAGGAACTTCTCCAGGAGAGCTCGGGCTGGAATCAGCCCTTGCTGAACCTCGCTGATGACCAGGTAGTCCGTCATTTTCTGCTGTCCCAGAGGCTGCTCAGGTGAAGCTTCAGGTGGCACCAGCCAGGCCACATACCCTGAGCTGGCGCCTCTCCTTCAGCCCCCTGCATGTCCTGCAGTGTTTGCCTCAGAGACAGGGAATTAACCCAGCAACAATGCAGCGATCCTTTGGCCCTAAAGCCCACTCTGTACCCACATCGGCTGCCTGCAGCAGGGATAGCACGTGCCAGGGCACCAGTGCCAGCCGGCAGCCAGGGGCTTCCAGCAGTCCTGGCCAGATGCTCCTGTGAGGGCAGCAACCTTGTGCGAGGTCTTGGGATGCTTTGCGCAGTATGTCTGCGACCCATGCAGTGGGGCCACGGTCCCCTCACCAGTGCCAGGCAAGGAGCCGCACACATCAAGCCCACGCAGTGTTAGGGGAGTTCCTCTCCTTGCACAGATGTGCTGGGGGCTTGAGGACATGCCCTGGCCCACTGTGAATTTGCAAGGGAGCCAGATCTCCCCCTGTATGCAGCTCACTGGAGCTGGCACCATTTGCTGGCTGGTGGTGGCAACCAACGTGGCCTGGCTGGTGTCCTGTTGTGCCGTGGTGCCCTGATGCAGCCGGCGGCTGCCACACAGCACAGTGGCAGGCTCCTGTGGAGCTTGGCCAGTGCAGCCCAGCCGCGGCAGAGCCGCTTAGCAGAGTGACTGTCGGCGCCGGGCCTGGAATTGAAATGCGATTTATCAGCTCCGTGGAGAAATCCATCAGGCGGCAGCCGCAGGGGACGTGGCAGTACCGTGGGTGGCGCGTGGCTCGGAAATGACCACTTGTGCTGCTTTGCTGGGAATCGCCTGCTTCGGAGCCCATTAGCCGCCCGCACGGGGCCCCGTCGCTTGTGCTGCCACGGGAGCCCTCGCACCTGGACCTCAGGGAGGTCACTCACTCGCCGTTCAAAATCTATTGTGACTTGTCAGAAAAATGAATAAACGAGCACATTATTTTTTCATTTCGGAGCTCAGCATCTGTTTGTCTAATCAAGGGAGAGAGCTGGAGAGGCAGCCGGGGCCGGCACGCACATTTTATTTAACTTTTCCTCTGTCAAAGGAGTTTAAATGTGTAATGAACAGGCCGCAGTGATTTGAAATATAATCCCATTACTCTGATGAGATTACCAAGGCTGTGAGAGTTCACAAATCATGCTTAGGGTTTTTATAGCGAACAACACCCTGTTGAGATTTTGCATTTAAGCAGAGGTGTGTGGCAGGAATAAAACATGACAGAGCTTAACCCTTTGCTAGTCCTGCAGCCACCACCAGCCTCCTGGTGCCCAGGCCCCTCTGGGAGGTCCTGGGGCTGGGGTGGAGGCACCCTCGGAGATGCTGCAGTGCAACAAACTTGAGCTGGGAGGCAGAAGTCACCGTGTTTGGGAACACCTGGCTCCAAGCAGGGGGACCAAGAGCTCTCCTGCTCTACATGACTTCCCATGATTTATGTACATCCTTCAGCTTCTGCACCCTCTCTCCTGCCCCGGCTGGGTGGGAGAATGTAGCATCGCTTTGCCTGGCAGGTGCTGGAGGGGTCTGCTGCATGTGAGCACCCTGGCCTGAGTCTGGCCCCTGCACGCGCACTGCTCCCAAGTGTGGCTGATCCTGACCCCAAATAGCCAGGCCTGGTGGTGACACTGGCATTGGGCCCAGTCACTTGCTGATGCTGGCTGCTTTGTACCTCATGCAAATATGCAACCCCAGCTTGAACCCATCCTCCCCCTGCTCCCTTGGTCCCCAGCCCCTTTTTGTGTGTGCTCCTTCTGGTAAGAGTGTGGTAGAGACGGGGCCAGACCTGAGCCCCCGCCATCACCTATCCTTTCCTTTGCATCTCACACAGCTGCAGCAAGAGGCAGCGGTCAAGAGAGCACCTGGATGCTGGCTGAGGAATGAGGAAGCCCTGGCCAGCCAGTGCCAGGGGTCACCCACAAGGTGTGCAGGTGTCCAGCGTGTGGCCAGGAGGCAAGCAGGAATTCCAGCCATGGCGGGCTCTGATCCTCACCTCGCAGGGAGCAGTGATCCAGAGGTAGGTCTGTCTAGGGAAGAGAAGGAGGGAGGGCTTGGGCTTGATAGCAGTCTTTCACCGTGGAGGGGTGGTCATGGAGAGGATGATGATTGATGGCCTTTTGCTTGTGGCAGGAGAACAAGACAAGAGCAAGGGGCTTCATTTGCCAACAACTTGGCTTTGAGGATGAGCTCCCTCGCTGATGCCCAGGGCTGAGATGCCTCAAGGGGTTACAGGGTGTCCATGCCAGGAGGTGTTGGAGTGCAGAGAAGGCAAATGCTGGGCTGGGCTAGATGAGATGTAGCCTTAGGGCCCTGCTGTTGTCAGTTTGTGATGTTGTGACTATGCTGTGCCCCTGGGACCTAATATCTGCCCCTGGGCACACCCAGCACTGCCCTCCCACCCTGCCATCCTTGCTGGGCCTGTGCAGGCCACGGTTGCTCCCCCTACTCTGCAGGACCCCTCCTCGGTGTGCAGGGGGGGCTCAGCCATTTCTTCCAAGCCTGGTCTTTGTCTAGAGCACTTCATTGCTCCTTGCAATGAGGAACTTGGGGCTTTCACTGATGCAACTGCCTGGTGATGGGTCTGCTCACCTGTGGAGGGGCCCTTAGTCCAGGCAGGGCAGTGCTGGGTCAGGAGCTGCAGTGGCCTGCTGGTTAAAGCCCTGCTGTGGGAGTGCGAGGTTGTCTGTTGGAGCCCTGTGTGGCTTTGTTTCTGTGGCTCAGTGACTACCTCTTCCATTGCACCAGTTAGATGTGCAGTATAAAGAGGAGCACCGAAGAGACTTTCATCCAGGAGCATCTGCTGGTTGTGGGGGGTGGAGCACTGCTTGGGGAGTAGACAGCCTGGGTTCAAATCCCACTGCACTAAGGCAAGTAGGTGCCCCAGCTCAGATGGTCTCCTGGGTCAGCTCTTTGTTTCTGTAGCCTAGTGACCATTTCATGGGTTGGGTGAAGAGCTGTAGCTGACAGCTTCCCATCCAGGAGAGCTTGGGGACTGGGGTCATGGGTGCTGATCCCATGGCTAAGCGTTTGGACTGTGAGGGTGGCAGGTGAACTGGGGGGTGCCCTTGGCTGTGGTGTTCTGGGCACTGCCAGTTGGGCTGGCCCTTCCCTTCTCAGCAAGCTGCTTAGCAGCTGTTCAGGTGTCCACAGCCTCCTGGTGCCAGGAGGGGGAAGCGGTTGTTCTTCTATACCCATGAAATACTTGTGGGGTGCAGATGCTTACTGAGTGAACAAATGCATAACTTGGAACCCTCCCTGTGTGTTCATCATACAGAAATCATTGTAGCGTATTACTTTGGATTATACTCACTCACTTATCTATTTATTTAGTTACTTATCTAGGTATTAATAGATAAGTAACTAGGCTAATTACTGAGTTAGTGACTGACTAATGCTGCAAAGACAGATGAGGGCTGTAGCAGAATGAGATCCCCAGTTCTCTTAGCCTCCTTGCCATTGGATCAAGGTCCTGCTCTGTCAAGAGCCGCATGGAAGCTGAATAGCAGCAGCTTCTTTGTGATAAAAGAAATCACGTTCAGGCGTCTTCCATGGAAGTGGCTTTACCAGCATATTCCTGGGGTAGGGTAGAAGATGCATCCCACATGCAGCTTCAGCCACAGGGCTGCCTTCCCTCCACTTGGCCTGCCTGGGCTGCAGCTTCCCCTTGGCCTGGAGCACCGCGGCAGGGGCAGGGGCAGCTGCTGGAGGAGGCGGGAGGCTAAGCAGCACCTGGGTGGCTGCAGCTGCACTGGGAAGCTGTGTGCACTGGTCAGGGCTAGTGCCAGGGCTGGCAAGGGCAAGCGGGAGCCCAGCACGCATGTGCGCACGTGCGCGCGCACACACACACATGCATGTGTGTGTATATACATATACACACACCTATACACACACACACACACATATACATACACACACGCATATATTCATACACACATATATACATACATGTATATGTATACACGCATATGTATAGATACATACACATACACATATATACACGCATTCATATATACACATTCATATATACATATACACACATATATACACACACAAACATAAATCTGTTCATACACACACACATATATAGAGACACATACAGATAATATATACATATATACACACACACACGCATACACATATACACACACATATATACACATACACATCTATACACACATATATAAACACACATACATATATCTACAAACACATATACACACACATACACATGCATACACGTGCACACACACACACACACACACACACACACACGCATACACGTGCACACACACACAGATATATATACATACACATACATTATATAGATATACCTACACATATATATACATACACACATGCATATATACATATACACATACATGCATATGTATCTATATATGCATATATATATATATACACACACATGTACACATACATATATACACATACACACACACGCATACACACACACACATGCATTCACCAGCAGGCTAAGCCTTTTATTATATTAGAATATGTGTGTGCGCACATGCGCAAGTCATCTGCACCTCTTCAACCAGATCTTATGAATGGAGCCTTGTATTATTCCAAATAAACAGATATCAGCCTATAATGCTGTCTTTCTGCACCAGTCACACGCCTCACATCAAAAGATCCATCATTGCCTATGAAGGATTTGAATCCTAGTTTCTCACATACAAACACAGCACCTTATCCCCTCCACTACTGCAAACAATACAGGCCTATGCTTGGAACTAATATGTCTCTTCTGTTGAGCCTGCTCCTCTGTGTCTCCCTCATAGAAAGACAAAGCAAGCACCTGGGTAGCTTGGTGGTTGCAGGCCCTGCCTGAGATGTAGCAGGTTTCTGGTTCTGGACCCAGGTCTAACACCACCTTTTCTTCTTACTTCAGCTAAGGGGCATGGCTCCAGCTAGGTGATAGCTGAAGTACCTTGCCCCAGGAGCATGGCAGGCAGCTGTGCGGCAGAAACTTACCTGCCCTGGAGCAGTGCCATGAGCCCAGGTCCCTACAGGCTATAAGGTGCAACTCTTACTTGATTTTGGGGGCCACAGGATGAACTATTGCTCCCAAGTCAGGCAGTCTGGGAGGCAAGAGGCAGGGTCCTGAGTGGGCACCAGGTACTGCCTGCTCTCTGCCTTCTATGTGACCAGGCCAGGATGAGCAGGCAGCACAGGGCTTGCCCCAGCCAGTGGCCAAACTCCAGGGTGCCTGATGAGGCTATGGGTTTGAGCTGTACTCTTAGTCCCTGCCTGAAGTCACCAGTGAGCTAAGAACAACACTGGCGGAGTACAGCAGCCCAGCCCTGCCCCTTCCTACCCAGGGAAGAGCTGTGCCCCAGGGCAGAGAAGGAAGGCACCACAAGAGGCAGCCTGGTCCCCTGAGTGCCATGCACCCTACATTTGAGGGTCATGGTAGGATAGGGCATGACCCTGCCACACACCAGCCTCACTCACTTGGGGGTAAATTGCCCCAGGGTCTGATTAGACCCCTGGGGCATCTTGGGGGAATGCAGCTGGAGGAACCTTTACACTCACGTGTAGCTTTGCAAGATTCTGTGCTGCCCGAACCATCGACAGCTGGCCAGACCTTGGCGCTGTGCCGGGAGCGGGCACGCAGGGAAGGCTGCATGCCGCATGGCAGAGTCAGAAGTTAAATGCTGGGAAAGAGACTCCTCCATCACCGGGAAAGCAAAGAGCTGAGTGCACGGGACTTGAGGAACTGCCTGACAGTGATGGAACAGGATCGTTTGAAAGATCATTATGAAGCCAAACATAGACTGCCCCGTCGCACCTATCCTGCGGAAACTTGCTGAGGGATGCAGTCTGCATGCCGCTCCCTGACTCTTTGCATGATGAGTGGAGGTACTGAGCTAGCACACCCCAACAGCAGACCCCCAGTTCCCTCGCAACATACCCTCAAGTTAGGCCCAGCACTGCCAGGGATGAGGGTAGTACAGTGTTGGGGGGCTGCAGGAGAAGGCCTCCCATATGCAGGGATGCTGCTGCCTGTGCTGTTATGGCAGGTTGCAGCTGGCTTAAACCAGGAGCCACTCGAGGCGGAGATCCACTGGCTGTACCGGGCAGGATTCCAGCATGCACAGGCCCCCCGCTCACTCACCCACCCCTTCCTACTGGAGCTTCCCTACCACACACCCATCGTGCTGCTCCTTTGATGAGCACCAGGCACTCGTGTCACCAATACAGGAAAGGGTGCGTGGAAATAAGCAATGTGCCAAACACGCTGCTGCTCACCAGCTCCCTCAGCACGGCTCTGCTGACCTGCCTGCTCCCATCCTGTCCTGCCGGTGAACCATGATATGATGCCATGTCACTTCTAAGGATCTTACATGAGGGGCATATCCAGGGCCAGACAACTTTGCCCACACATCCAGCCCCAGCACCTGTAGCTGCATGTAAGGGGGACTCTTTTTTTCTTACATAGGTGGACAAATGCCCAGGCCTGCAGCAGACTTGCAGGAAGAGGTGAATGCCCTTCGCAGGCCTTAGATGGTAATTAGGAGAATCTTATAGCACTCAGTGAACAGCAAAGTACTTGCGTGAGAAGTCATCCTTGTTATGGGGAACGGCAACTACAATATTCTGCCCAAACCTAGTAACAAGGCATGGAACGAACAGCTTGCTTAGCTGACCCACTTGAATGCCCATCTGAATCAATTAAATCTGCAACTACCCCGGCAGCACCAGCCCGTGATGGAGCGGTGTTCAGCTGCGCACAAATTGCAATTGTGACCCCTGGTTTAACTCCTTCAGCTGCCCCAAAAGCACAGAAATGTCTGCTTGGGGAGAGGTGCTGCCCTTCTGCCCCCTGGACATTTTCCTTGGTCAGGAGGCCTGGCTCTTGGCTTCTGATTGTTCTAAAATAAAATGACTGTACCTGGGAGCAGGTCTGCTTGGATCCAGTGAAAAGCTTTGCCAGTTGCCATGCCCTGCACTCGGGGAGAAAAGTAATTGGCACTCTCTCACTCTCTGCCTTCCCAGCCTGGAGGAAAAATAGCCTCCTTCATTTTGGGTGTGTGAGAGAGAGACAGAGACAAAGTGGGCATGCAGTGAGTGTGCACTGAGTGGGTGGGTGTCTGTGTGATGAATTTATGGTGGGCAAGTTACATGTATGCTGCTCTGCAAGTGCTGAGGCCAAGTCTGGGTTGCCTCCTGGAAAAGGCCCGTCTTCGCCTCCATGTGTCTCTGCCACGCGCTGAACCTTTTGCAGTCTTGGGCAGTGGTGGCTGCAAGGCAGAGCCCATCCCTCAGGGAGCGAGGGCAGAACATCAGTGGCTCCAACTCTCCAGGTCCACCTCACTCTGCCCAGTCTGAGAAAACACCTTGTCGGCATGTATCTGGGTGCTGCATCGAGGTGCTACAGAAAGGAAGCAGAGTGCGATGTGCTTCTGGGCCCATTCACAGCTGCGATTTTCAGAAGCTAGTTGAGTACCTCTGCATGCTCCCCTTTGTACAGTGCTTCCCACGAACAACTGTGCGATGGCCTGACTGCGCAGCACGGCATGCAGCCCGCACAGAGGCTGGAGGACCCTGCCTGGGCATCATCTTCTGGCCTGCCCTGTACTGCTGGGCTCAATGCATCTACCTTGGCCTGGTGAAGACCTTGGTGGCTACCTATCCTCTGGTTTCTGCAGGTCTAGGTACTTCAGTCCTAGCCAGCTGCACCCTGCCTGTCCCTCCCATGCTTCTCAGTTGAGGTGGAGGTGTCTCTCAGTTTCATTCAGGCCAGGTTGCAGCTCACAAGCACACCTGTGCTCTGTACCCCCACACCGACTTGTTTCCTAGCTTGTCCAAACTCAGATGCAACAGCTGTTGCAAACACAGTTTCCATCCCATGGACCTGTGCTGCCTGGGAAGTGTTGGCTAACACTCCAGCAGCACAGCCCTGGTCTTTGTGAAATAATTGTGCTTTTAAAAAGGCAGCACAACTTTAGGGCCATACTGTCTAAGGGACCTGTTTGCTTTCTGATGTGGCGATGCAAGTCACTTGTATAAAGGACTTCTAGCACTAGCATCTCTGCCTGGAAGTGCAGAATACACAATCCCTCCTGTCAAACACCCATCATTTGCATGTGCAAGTTGTTGCAGTTTTGCCCACTGACAATATACCCAAAAAACCCCAAGGGTTTGAAACTCTGGAACTGAGCCTTTTCAGTAAAATCAGAATCTCAAGGCTTTAATGAAAGCAAAATGCTGCACACGTTGATCACCTGCTAACAGCAATTATATACTGGGAGACGGCAACAGAATTTGATACAGCAGCCCTTGCACACCAGCATTACGGTAATCAAAAACAACGTACCATGGAAGACGGATGCCGCTTTTCATCCTATTGCAGGTTTCTTTTCAGTTTGATTATGGGAATCAAAACTGGCTAGCAAAGAGCATGTTCACACAACATTTTTAATGTTAAATTGTTCAAGGGTGATTAAATCAGCATGGTTTGAAGAGGTTTTGCTCTGTTGCTTGTGTACCACGTTTGTGCCAGTAAGAGTTAAAAATGTAAACACCGGGCTAGAAAATATCTCTGTCTCTTACTTCTGTGTTGCACAGCAGTAATTGGGGAAGACTGGTGCCTGGGGGAAGAACAGGCATCTTCTGCCGGGAGGGAGGACAGGAGTTCCTCTCCCGAAGGACACACTCCACAGCTCCTTTGGGGGGCTTCTGTGGCACAGCTCCAGATGGAGTAAGCTGAAAGTTTAGACTGAGATTCTTGATGTAACACCTGAAGGAGAAGCAGAGTTCTCTGCCTAAACTACACTAAACTGTTAAAGCTGAGAGAGGTGTTAAGTGCAGAACCAGAGTTAGGATGTGGGACCAATCAAGCTCACTATAGGTCAGCCTCACCACCAGGCCGTCAGAAGGGAAGAACTGAAATCTGGTAGCCCTGCACGCTTCCACAGGACAGTATTATTCTTCATCCTCGCTTCTGCCTCTTTGTAGTACAGCTGTACGCATCACTGCAGATTCAGAGAGCTATAGTTTAATGACTTACAGAAAGTGAGAGAAGACCTTCCTGGTGAACTGAACCACAACAACAAAGGCAACTGTCAGTGCCCCTGTCCCCATTTATATGCTCCCCCGCTCATTGGAGATGAGCAAGGCTGGGATGGTTACAGAGCTCAGTTCAAATTAAGTCTTTTACTGAAGTGACTGAAGTGAGAAAAGAAAATGTGCAGTTATTTCTTGATCCGCAGCGGATGCTCAAGAAGAGACACCTCGGCCGCCTCGCGCGGCACTCAGGAGCTACCCGCTAGGTCATCCTCCACAAGAAGTGCAGACCCTGTGTCTGTGGAGTGACTCCCAAAACATGGCCACAGTTTTCAAAATAACCTTCAGCAGAGGCCACTTCCAATACGACATCTTCGCAAAAGAAAAATGCAGTTGTCAAAAAGGTGCATGGAAAAGAAAACAGACTCCACTGCAGAAACCTTTCTTCAACCCTCAGCTGTTTTATGACAACTCCACAGACTTGAACAACAGCTGAAATCCACCCCCCCCAAGAACCGCATGTAGTGTGAACCTTGAGAAAGATCACGTTTGTTTATTAATAGTAAAAATGGATACATTTGTCCTACAGTTTTAGAAATTTGATAATATCGCAAGCAGTACCTGCGCACGCGTGCGTGTGTGTGTATGTGTATTACAGATGTATATAATTTATTCTAATCAGGCTGTGCAACAATTTATAACCACATCTTTCCTTGCAATTGTACATAATACAGCAATTGAACACCGCCAGCCTATGCCCTTCTCTTCTTTCTAATCAAAGGACTCTGAAGCGTAACAGTCCCCTTTTCGGTTGATATGGCTCTTTGTTTTCGTCAAAAGGGAGACTCCCATCACCAGCGCGGGATCATCTGCCAACCACAAGAGACTGCAATATTGACTCTCTTCCTGGGCTACCCGTGCCTGTTGGCAGCAAGAACGCTGTAGTTCTGGCTCCCACCTGTCTCAGGCTGTTGGGAGCTTCTCCTCTTCCAAATTGGTAGACAGTTTTTGCTCTAGGCGAGACATTACTGCTGTCCTGATTTCTTCTCCTTCTGGAAGCTAAAGCTTGTTCTCCTGCTCAGTTTTCTTTGTTTCTGAGCAAAGTAATCTGCTCTGGCTGTACTTGCTCGGGATTCTAGAATATAGTTAACCTGGAAAACACAAAAACAAGGCTTCATTTCAGCCATTCTCCACTGGACCAGCCGGAGAAGAACAGACCTTTCCCCCAAGGATGGATGATCTACTCAAACCTGTCTCCAGTAAGAACAAGATGGAACCTGTGGAGAACGCTCCAACCCCAGAACCAGGTCCCCTTTATGGCTCTGGCTTCATAGCCCTTCTCCCTTGTCACCTGGGAATGGAGCTGTCAGGCTTCCCATCATCACCAGAAGAGATGGCAACACAGGAGATATGCTGAAAGGATGCAGTACTTGACCCTGTTGTTCTGCCACTTGCTAGCCAAATTGCCAGATGAAAGCAGTTAAGTCACAAAGACCCATGGTGCTGATCTGATACATTCATCAGCATCAATAACAGGTTGCATCAGATGTAATAAAAATAATTCTTTCGTTATGATGTTTGCATATTCAGTCAATCCCATCCATGTCGTGTGTTTTGGCACATATGACTTGATAAAAGCATTTAAAAATGATATTTAACAAGCCTGCTATCCCCTAAATTTATTATCTCCAGTGCTTTGTGATAATCACATAGATAATTTTAATGGAAGGTTAATGCACGAATCAAAAGATAAAAATGCCCTTTGGTCTGCCATTAGCTGGTTAATCTGCTGTGGCTTAAAACTTGCACAATTTTATGCACTGTAGAGTGTTTCACTTTCATTGCATATTACAGCTTAAGGCATAAAAATATAGGGAGTTTTCATGGTCAATAAAGCCTCACTCTGTCACCTGATCATGTGAAGAACCTAATTTGAAAAGTCTGATTTCTCTGCGTCTCCTAAAGCCTGTGGAATGAGAGAGAAACAAAGGCCTAAATTGGTAACCAGTATCTGAACCTGGAAAGTGTTTAATACGGAGAGGCTATACCATAAATAAAAGGCGTAGTGCATTATTGTGTTCAGTGATATCTGCTATCTGAATAGGCTTCTTGTCCACATCAGTCTGTCTTTTTAGTCTTCCAAAAAGTATGCTGAATACTCCTAGGTATATCATCAGATCTAGAGTGGAGCGGCTTATTTAAGACAAAGTTGGAACAAAAAATCCAGTGTAGAAATTTATGAATTTAGTGCAAAAATAGTTAAATTTCAGCTCCTAGGGCATGAACTAAACTACAATGTTTTATCATATGTTAGTTATGTAGCACTTCCATAGTCTTTACACAGAAAACACCATTAAGCACAGGGAATGGCATATAAAACATCACTTAAAATTTTAAATTGCTATAAAAATAATAGATTGCAGAAAATTAAGTTTAATCTTCCAACTGTATTATGATCATTTGTTTCAGAAAGTAAATCAACCTGTGCGTATAACAAGCCATTATAAAAGCAAATGGTTATGATAAAATATTCTTAAAACATAAAATGTTGGGGTGGAAAATGCTGTTCTTTGTATGAAGACATGCAGTCGGAAAGCATTTGTGGAAAGAGCAGGAGAGAATCATTGTCCTGCCAGAATGACGACGCTCTGCTTGATCCCTGCTTGAAGTCATAAACCTGGCATCAGTCTAGGACCATGGAAATTATTTCGACATCAAATACAGGTTTATAATTTTACTGAAGCCCTCCTCAAATCTTTGAATAATATTAACAGCAGCCGTAAAACACCCTGAAGCATAATGGCATTTTTATTTAAATATTCCCCTACTCATCTTGCAAAAGTTCCTTTAGCTAACTCCACTGAGAAGCTGCAGGGAGCTCTTTGCAAGTTACTGTTAACACTGACTGTTTGGAACAGCAGCACGCCCAGTAACGCCAGGGTTCCGGGTCCTCACTGAGTGCCTCATCGCGCCAGGAACAGCCATTCCCAAACTGCCAACAACCGCACCTCCTGCTTCATTGAAAACCAAGACATTACTGCTGGGCAGCTGATTTGGGCTGCTTCATTATTTATTTGCAATTTAAAGTTTGTGGGTGTTGGATCAACTGCCTGCTGCCCAGGCCTTAGTTACACCTCACCTGTAAAAGGCAGTAAGAATACAGTACCTGGCAAGGCAGGGCCACTGAACTCTGCGCTTGCGCAGTGCACCGAGATCCCTGCATGGGAGTTTGACCTCTTGGACCCTGCCACTTGGACTCCAGGTCTCCAAGGTCCTGGCCACATCAGTGGCCCCAGACAATTTAAAGGAGCTACTCACACACTTCAGGTCAGAGCTCACTTATCCTGTCACCTTGTGCTGGGACTGTGTTACTCTCCACTCAGGAGCATCCAGACCCATCTGGATTGTAACCCTAGTGGATTGCTGGAGGTGGGAAACACATCGGTGTTAACCCCCCACAACCCCGTACTGACCAGCAGCTTTGAGGTGAGGTGGGTAGCAAATAGATGAAGCTTACTGGTTTCTTGGGCAATAAAATTCCTGCTGGACAACAGAAAAGCTGCAGAAGGATTTGAACGCTGAGCGCATGCACCCATGAGCTGATAGTTCCCTGAGGGTTAATTTACCATCAAACTCCTGGAGCACATTCACTATTTAAGATACAAACACTCTAAACAAGGTAAAAGCTGTGTGATGCTTGTGGAAACTGGCATCCTCTGGAAATCAGCTATTAGCAAGGGAATTGGCTCTGTGCTTGTGTAGGAATAGACCCCCCAGACTCCTGTGACACAAATACAGCGTACAAAGCCAGACTGTTCAGCAACGACCATGTGCAAGGTCCTCAAAAACTGCTGAAGCTCCCTGCCAGTCACACATTTCTAGAGCTGTCTGGGTATTTCCAGCTCTTGCATCTAGCGAGTGGTAAAACTCTGAGCATTTTGGGTCATGGCAAAATTCAGAGCCTACCTTTAGTACGATTTCATTGACAGTAGCAGCATCTGATTCAAAGTAGAGGTGCTTGTAGTCATGATTGTGTAAATATGTAAGTTTAAATATTGCATGACCTGGAAAGATAAAAAAAAAAAAAAATCATGTTCAGAACACTCCTCAAATTTCAGCAAAGCTCGTGCACTTGACAGAAGAAAAACACAGATGGTGATCTTAGCGTACCATCGGCACAACAGAAGGAAGCCATGAAATGCTGACAGGCTTCTCATGTCATTTCAATTTAAGGCAAGTGGTGGCTTACACAGGAGCAGCTGAACGCCTTTCGATAAAGTTCATTTTCCCATCACATCCCACTGTAGGGAATGCGAAAATCTATCAAATGGCTTGTTAGGTCCCGTTCAGCCCTAGACCATATTTCAGTTAAACTGCCGCATTAGAACTACTTTGTGAAACTATCCACTGTATAATCATCGCATGCAGGAGATAAGTGTTATGCTTAAAATAAAAGGCCAATTAACCCCAGAATTATCACTGTAACAATAAAATAACCAGCTACTCGAGGCAAAATAAAACAGTGCTGTGATTTTAAAAACGAGCAAAACCTTGGTAGAAACACCACCACACAACCGCTCTTTCCCAGCAGGAATCCTGCCATTGACATGGGGGACAAGGCAAAACTAAACTAAATCATGCTCCTTAGTCACGGGCTAATGAACAGGCCTGGGCTGTCCACCAGGCAAAGGGCATAACAGCCTTTGCTTGCCTGGGCATTTGAGGATTTGAGCAGAAACCCAGCACCCTCCTGACGCAAGGTGTCTCCATCAGTTCTCATTTCATTCACTTCAGATCAAAGGGCAAAGCTGCAATGGTAAATTCGCCTCTTCCGGCAGGAAAACCTCATCCAATGTCTTATTTACATTATCTGATTGTTCAGATTTCCCAAAGTAAACTGAGATATGCTAGGAATCTGTGACCAACAAACACGAGACCTCAGTATTTTATCGTGGCATGTTAATTAAACACCATTATAATGCACTAATCAGGCATATAAATTCTCTATTGAAAAATTGGCTAATAATTAAAAAAAGACTTTAAATCATTTGACAAACGAAGCTCTGGCGGTACTAAAAATGCTGGAATTCTTGGCGGCAAGCTAATCAGCATGCTAATGTATTCACGGCTCGCTCCTGCTCGGGACTGAATTCAGCATCTTTTAGCATTCCAAGAGCGCACGTGCGCGCACACGCTGCTCACGGAGACATGACAAACCCTGGCGAGTTATCAGTGTTTACAGCTTCCTCGTGTACCAGCTGATGTTACACGCCGGAGTTTTACAGATCGTTATACAAATGAGCGTCAGGAAACACAAAAGGTGCCAGGGACCGCAGGCTGGAAGCCCAGGGGACTCTCCTCACCAGGGGTGAATGGATGGTCTTTTTAATTGCTCCATGCACCAAATTCCTGTGGCTGGGCCTGCAGCCTCTCCTTCCAGGTTTGCCTTTCTCCTGTCTGCAGGGCACACAGCCCCCTCTACGGTGCAGCCAAGGCAGGCCGGCTGTTTGGAGGGCTGTCGGCCTGGGTAAATCATGTCACATTTCTCTGGCTCTGTCCTGCCCCACTTAGCTTCTCTTGTCTACTCAACTGTAAGCACTGCAGGGCAGGGGCAGTCTTACACCACACATCTGCCTGTGCCCAGCACGGAGTGGGTTCCTGTTTCAGCTGCATCCTCAGCACAAGTGCGAGAGACGTGCTACAAGCACTGCCTGGCCTCAAGACAAGTTACCTGAATTCCTCAGGGCTCTTCCTCCTCTTTCCTCTCACAACACACGTGACAGACCAAACCATGACCACAGCATCCCAGGGGAAAGGGTAGCTTTAGAGGGCTGCTTCTGCTCCAGAGGAGACACGCAGGCCACAAGACGCGGAGGGAGGATTCTGAACAGATCGCTACCAACACACCTTTCTCAGGCCCCAAGGCTATTGCCAGGAGTAGGTGACGAGCAAGGCTGCCACCCCGCAAAGCAGGAAGAAGGAAATTAAGTGACTTTGTAGGCTGGCTTCTGATGGGGGCAGAGAAACCTTGTCCAGCATCCCCATCTCCTAAACCCGTGATTTGTCCTTCTTCCAGCAGTGGCACAGATCCAGCTGACAGAAGCAGAACATGGAATCATAGAAAAGGAGGGTTGAAGGGACCTCAGGAGGTCACATCTAGACCAACCCCTGCACAAAGCAGGACCAGCCCCAACTACATCATCCCAGCCAGTGCTCTGTCTACCCAGGTCTTAAACACCTCCAACGATGAAGATCCCACCACCTCTCTGGGGAGCCTGTCCCAGTGCTTCACCACCCTCTTAGTGAAAAAGTTCTTCCTAATAACTAACCTCAACTTCCTTTGCTGCAGCATGAGCCCATTGCTCTTTGTTCTGTCATCTGCCCCCACTAAGAACTGTTCAGCTCCATCCTCTTTGCAGCCCCCCTGCAGGGAGGTGAAGGCTGCTATCAAATCCCCCCTCAGCTTTTTCTTCTGCAACTAAATCAGCCCAGTTCCCTCAGCCTCTCCTCACAGGTCCTGTCCCCTAGCCTCCCAACCATTTTTATTGCTCTTCACTGGACTCTCTCCAATGTGTTCACATCCTTTCTGTAGTGGGAGCCCCAAGAACTTCATTTCAAGCACCTATTTTGGGATTTGAAAGAGTCAACACTTTCAACAGCAGTTACAGCAGAGGATGCCAGTAATAACCCTTCAAAGGAAGCCTCTTAAATGTGAGAGATGGAAACAGGGTAGCGCTTGGCTGCCCTGAGAAAAGCAAGTTCACATTGTACTGGAAAAACCTCTGGAAAACACCCTGGAAAAGAATTGGGCTTCTCCATGCAACAGATCAAATGCATGGAGACAGCCCAGTGCTAAGCCCTGGCTGTGTGCTGTGCAGGATGCAGGCATGCCCATGGGGTGCCAGGTGTGGAGAGCAGCTTACCCAGCCCCCGCGCTCAAGGGGACCCGCTCCTTGCAGCCAGCTGGGAAAGCGCTGCAGGTGCCATGCACTGTTCATGCTCCACTGCCGGCCTCTCCCCAGCCACAGGAAGAGTGCGTCAGTGGAGACAGCACGACAGGGAGAACTGCACTAACCTTTTGGTGCAGCTCTCGAAGGAATTCTGGCACCGCGGGCGCTTGGAGTGAATGAAACGGCAACCCTGGTGCTCCCTTCACATTTCAGCATGGAGAGCTGCCAGCCGGTCTGTGGTGAAGTATTTGTGCCATCAGCAATGCGGGCCAGGCCTGCGATTTATATGCACTGACAGGTATTTAGAGAACAAAAGCCAAAAAGACTTTTCTTTAGAAAGCCCCATTATGGCCCTATGTTTATGTGTTTCCATGTCTGCATTATACTGCTTACTGTGTGAAATATTAGTTCACTGAAACCATCAGCTGGCACTTTGTTTTGTTACTTTTCTGGCCAGATGGAATTTATGAATTGCAAGGGATGGATTGATTTCCATTTCCAAGAGTACTTAAATATGTGATGTACGGTTCAAAGCCCTCTTTCCAATAGAACGTCACCCTTGATAATTCAGCAATCAATACGAGTTTCAATATTTTTATATTTCTATATAAAGAATATCTGGTGACAAGCAACAAGAGTGCAGGCAGCACCTCCTGGGCTCGTAACTCCAGTTCAGAGGACAGCCCAGGTGAACAGCCCAGGCAAATCTGATTATTTTAAATCATTTTTTGCTGCCCTTCCACACGTCAAGGTGAATGTGTTCTGCTCTCGCCACGTATCTCTGGTGCTGCCCTTCCCTGCCTTTGCATGGGACCACAGGAGTATTTGCAGTGGCAAGAGACAGGTGAAGCCTCATCACTTGCATGTGGATCGCCAACCCTCCAAAGAAGTGGATGTTGAAACCTGGGTGTGGTCCACTGCAGCAGCAGCAGAGCCAGGAAATCCAGGTGGGGATTCACTGATCCCGACCCCAAACACAGCCTTGCTGACAACACGCTAGCCTGCAACACACAGCAAGATAGACAGCCAAAGACTGCGGAGATGGACGTCTCAGCACCATCCTCCCAGGTACAAACGGCAGCAGATGTCTGCATGGTAACCCTGTCCTGGTATCAGAGTCCTCTGAGGGCCATGCTCTGGCCTGGTCACTGGGATCTTCTCTATGCCACGACTGCCCCGTGATACACCCCATCAGAACAGCGGCTCTCCTGACCAGCAAGGGAGGCTGGCGAGTGTCACCGAGGAGCTGGACGTAGACTCTGGCACTTGCTGCCACACGAGCTATGAAGGATCCTGGACTGCACCACTTTTAGAACAAAACACAAAATTACTTCCTTCCACTTCACCTTTCATAGCAAATTCTGCACAGAGATGCACACACCCACATTACAGAGACCAGACAGAGCACACAAATGCTATGGACTAACTGTGCTCTTTCTCCAACAGGCTGCAAACAAAGAGACTGCTACTATGATGACGGAAGCTGCGTGCACGTAGGCAGATACCAGAGCGGACCCTGCACCTCTTAAAGACAGCAGCACATCCACAATACCACTCTACCAGGCAGAAATGTCAATTCTGGAATGTCAGAAAACAAACCCGGAAAAAACCCTGTCAGCTGGACAACAGGAAACGTTACCATGCTTCCAAGGATGCCTCAGTGTAAAAACCTTTGTGCGAAACAAGTGACATTTTATTTAAAAACAATGGGAATGAAAAAAAATCCAATGTATGAAAGAGATTTGCAGTTGCCTCTGTGCAGACAGGCCCTCCCTGTGTCCGGCCCCTCCCAGGCTCCGTTCCTATGCAGCGCGGTGACCAACGTGTCCTGATCGTATTCCTGCTTACCTTCTGCTTCACCAGGTCCCTCACAAGCCTCTCCATGGCCAAGAAGATCTATCTGTTGTAGGTGCCCTCTGACCTTAATCCCATACTTTGATCAATCTTTTCTACCCTTAGAATGCTAATGAGCCCCCGTGCGAATTACAAAATGGGTGTGTATCATGTGTACCAAGGCCTCCGAGGACATGAAGCTAATTTGGAGGAGAGGAAGGCTTCCCCTTCAGCTTTGTTTTTTAAGTCCTTATATTCTGCGTGACTTGGTTCTTATACTA